CCATATTGTACGCAAAGATGGAAAATGGGCTTTTCTCCTCTCCTCTTCTCCCTTCCTCACACCTATAACTTTTTTCTGGTGTCAGATCTGAACTCAGCAATGTCAAAGGATTTCCTGCACTTTTGTTTCTCTATACTGTTCATCTTTGGGTATAGTTTTTTAACTCTCCTCTTACAAAACCATATGGCCATGGTTGCACAGGTGACAAGATATACATAGCTCCCATTGTACAAATATAGCTCCCATTATTGTTGCAACACACTCAGGCTACCGTGCAATGTACCCCTGGAGATGAGGTGACAAACGCTGCTCCCACATTTTATGGGATGCTGGTGTGTACCCAGGAGGAAGGAGGAACTACCTTCCATCTCATTGCAGAGCCATGGCCAATACTTTAAACATACAAATTTTGAGAATCACCTGGGACAAAACTTTGGTGGGGTAATGATGGTGTAGAAGATCTCAGAGGTTTGACACAAACACAGTACACTTCCTCCGTCATGAATATCTTGGCTTTTTAAGTGCTAGCCAAGAGAAAGATGGGCATTTGGCTAGGCATCTCTTCTCTTCTGATGGCTTTTTTCATCCTCTTCTCTCACAGACAATTCTGAAAAGAGCTGTCAGACTGCACCTGCCTGTTTCACACCTCTCTGAGTGAGCAAGGACAAGGGCAATGGAGCCAAGCACTTATCCCTGGCTATCACCCAGACAGCCTGCGTGCACTTGGGCAAGTTCTCAAATCCTCCACCACCCCTCCTCGCCACCCCACATTTAACAGAGCTCATTTCTGAACTCTCCAGAACGTTTCCTCCTCTGCAACCACTGTAGAATCATCAGTCTGGCTCCATGCTCCATAACTTCATGCATGTAACTGAAGAACCTATAAGACATCTCATCCCCATCATCCCCTCTATTGTGGTCACTGGAAGGCCACAGGCAGGCACTTCCAGGTGAGAAGTGCACAAGGTGGGATGTACTGGTCTGGCAGGAGTCTGGGCTGCTACTTTCTTTCTCTGAGTTCCCAGCACTTAGTACAGGGGTGCTGAAGCTTGGGCACATATGTTTCAACATGTCACAACAGTGACTTCTGAATTGTACTGTCTTCAACAAGATGCCTGAAACGTGATGGAGACTTTATATTCATCTGTTGAGAGGACTTTGTCTGCTGTCTATTATGAAACTCTTCCCAAATGAAACTTAATTGCTTAGCCTTGTAATAAACTGTATATTCCCCGACTTTTCAAAGAAAGTGTGTCTCTTCCTGTGCCTGCCACAGAAAGAAACACATTGATACCACATTGCACTAAAAGTGATGTTGTGTTTCTCAGAGCACAGATAATGTAAGATAAAGATTTGTCAAGTAACTTTTGAAAAGGCAGCTTCAAAATCATCTAGCCTCATTAATACAGAGAGAGTTTCAAATAGCCATCTTTGCTGACCTAGCTCAGAGACACATGAAGATTTAAGAAAGGAAAGGTTCCAGTGAAGTCAATGGGCTTAAAACTAAGAAGAGACTAACGGGATCTACACGTACACAGGGCTAAAAGTAGGCTGAATGCTTTGGCAGGGTGAAGCCCTGCTCTCAAACTCACTGAGGTGACCCAATTTCTTTGCAGATGTCTGCAGGGGAAATCCACACTTCTGCAGTTCATCCCCTTCCTTCAGTGTCATTAGTTCTTATCCTTCCACATTGAACTTTGCAGGGGAAGGATTTTGCTGCACTGTTGAGTGTCTGGGAAATGGCACCTCATTTTTACTCTGTGGTTTAGGAGAGGGTTGTTTGATTCTAGAAAAAAAGCCTGCCCTGAGATTTTCCATGCAAGGACTGGAAGGGAGATGGAGCTCTTCTTTGTCCCTTTCTCTGTCAATGAGCAACTTCATTGCTGCAAAGTTTTAGATAACTGACCCGCAGGGAGGGGGCAGCTTGAACAGGAGTAAAACTGTCCCTTTTTGTTCTCTCAAATAAAGCTTGAAGCTTAATCTACTGAACAACAGAGACACAATGACCCACCTCCATAGACTGGGCAGGAGATGGGGGCAACAGGGGGGCTGATACAGAGGAGGAAAATGGTTTGGTAGTTGTTTTGAGCTGCCAGCTGTCTGAAGACAAGATTAGGTTGCAGATACCTTGGCCTGTACCCAGCACTGCCTTTCTTATGCAAATGCTTGTATGTTACTTGATTTGCATTTTCCACAACTTCCTCCTCAGTAATATGCAGTTAATATTTATATATACTTAGCTAATGCATAGTTTATATGTACATATTTTGCTGCAGTTCTGCAGGTTAGTTAACCAAAATCTGCCTGAATTTTGCTCTGCTTACGGATTTGTATGGGTGCAAACAGGATCACAATATATCTGATGCAAAGTGTGTGGGAAAAGAGAAATAAATTGAATTTCATAAAAAAATATTCAGTGCTAAAAAAAAGTGTACAATTTTTTTGTACATTATTTTAGTTCAGGAGATGCCATAAAATAAAACATCATGGAGCAAGGACACTCCTGGAGAGCGAGCACTTGAGAAGCGAGTAATTACAGCTCCTTATGTCCCCCAACCTGTCTCTGCCTATGGCACTGTCTGCGTGACAACATTCATTCAATCAACTCTGTATCATGTAAGGATGTACTTAAGAAAAATTCGGTGCCCCTCCCCAGTTAAGTCACAGCCTGATTATTCACGAGAAACAAGGCTACCGGCTTTTTTTCATGATCGTTTTTGTGGCAAATAAGGGGGTTGTAGAGCCTCTCTTCTACCACCAGAGGTCATGAGCAAAACACCTCAGTCCCTCAGTCACTCTCCTGGAGGGAAGAAAGTGGAAGAATCAGCAGAAATACTGCTACATTCGTGATAAGTAAAATGCAGGCGATAACCATAAGGATCCCCATCAGTTGGGAGGGAAGGTGCCGAGGTTAACAATGCAGCCATCAGTCTGCCAGTGCGGGAGCTGGGAGACAGGCACTGGGGAGAGGCACTGCTCCTACGCTGACGGATGTAACACAGATTTGTTGCCATATTTTACTGGTTTGTATTTGCTTATTCATGAACACTAATGCAGGATACTCTGTGTTTTGCAGGAGATGTGCAGAATCTAAAAGCTCTGTTGAAACTTATGTGAATATTCAAAAAAGGCTCTTGCCTCTTACCTCAAAATGGTCTTTTATTATTTGGGGACATATTTCGGCAATACTAGAAAGGTATCTGAACATAATCAGCAACCGAGAGAGGGAATTTTCCTAACCATAAAGCCTGGATCGGCTCATGGACGAGAAACATGAGCAAGTGATTTCTCTGACCAGCCATAAGACATGAAAATTGGAAAGGCAGCAGAAAGCTTAGGGAAAAAAAATTATCTCAAGTATATCCACACTGTAAAACTTTAAAGAGTTATAAAGTCAGGGACTATAAACTGTGTGCACATCATTTGCAAAAGGAAATGTGCTTTCAGACAAATTATTTACAACAAATAATTTCATCTCCTCTCCCCCTTTGAGCACAGCTGTGGGCAATGTTTGTTGGAAAGGAAAGGATTGAGAGTGGCAAATCAAAATTGACATTTTTTTAATTCAGAAAATGTCAAGACAAGAAACTGTGCTCAGCTGTAAAGCACCACCATGTCCTGGTCAGAGCTCTGTGCTCTCACTTACTGGTGGCCAGATGAGTTGTCTTCTCATGAGGAGCATACACGAGGAAAGAGGAATGGCTTGTGGCAGAAAGAATGGTACTGATGAGCCAGAATCCCCCAATTTCCTCCACAGTTTTACAACTCCGTGGCACACATACTTTCACTATAAATAAGAAGGAGTAATTATATGCATATTAAAAAAACCTACCCAGTTTCTCTGAAAAAGTCTCACAGTCTGTTTTTACTGAGTGATAAGGCTCTTGAAAAAGATGAGATTTATTTCTCAAAATTAGTAAAACACATTTCTGAGCAATGACTAAAAATAAGCTTCATCTTTCAGTGAGTTATTACTTACTACTCTGAAAGTGAAGTTTATTACAGAAATCTTGACAGCTCATTAACTACCTTACTAAAGAACGCTTGCGCTATAATAAAACTACCATCACTCCACCTTCACAGCAAAAGAAAAAAATGAGCAGACCATTTGCATATTGTGTTCAATCAACAGCCACAGAAACACAAGCCTCCAAGTCTCAAGTCAGTGCCACAGTGTGGTTGCAGTGGGCCCTGGGAAAAGCCTGCCTCCTGCGGGGAAAGGCCACATAATCAGGGCTCCTCCATGCCTGCCCTTTGGCCACCTCCTTCAAGAGCTTCTCAGCCACCTGCACCAATGAGGATTTCTTTCTCCTTCTCTGTAGTCAGGGGATGTTCAGGTGAGCAATCGTTTCTGAGACACTTTTGCCATTTCTAGCATCTCCCCACAGAAAAGACATGGGTCCACCTTCTGTCGCTCTGAAGGTGTATTAGCCTTCCCTTTTTGTTGAATCTGTTCCCAAAAATCTCCCATAAAAGGCTCCAGGATTTAAATACGTCTCACTGATGCAAATCAGGCCAATTACATTGTGTACCGCCCTTAGCAGAGAGAGGAAGGTTGATCTCCTTTCTTCTCATTATAACCTGATGAGCTGGGGGACTTGTATGGGTTCCTGCCTTCTCTTCCCCCCTATAACCTAGTCTTCCCCACAGTGCCAAATCCTTGAATTTATGCAGAAATAATATTTTGTGTCTCTCCTGTCATAATACTCATTTTCCTCCTCCGTTCTCTCTGCAGCTTGTCACATCTTTCTTTAAAGTGTGGCTATCAGCCCTGGATAGAGTAATGCTCTAGCAGGGACCTTATCATTATGGATCAGAGCATGTTAAATACTTCTGGTGTCTTGCACATGACATCCCTGCCAGTGAATCCAAGAATGGGAGTTGTCTTTTCTGCAGCACCATCACACACACATTTTTAGCTTGTGAATCACAGCAATTGCTGAATCATTTTCCACTCTACTGGTGACTTACTGTTAGTACTTCACTGTCTATTTCTGTAGGAAGGAATTGAACCCTCATAAGCTGGTTTCAAGCCAACCACATCAAACCACTCATGCTTCTTTCTTATGGGTAGTTAGTAAAACCATTACATAGTCTTGTCGAGACTAAATCACAGGTGAAAATCCAGTACACCCCATCATCTATCCCATGGCCAACCACTCACTTCGGTTTTCAAGATGCCTCATCTCCTATTATAGAATAACTTATTGAATTTCATGACCACGCCCTGATAGTCGCACTAGCCATTTGCAGCCTAGTATTATATCTTCTAGCCCTCATACTCACAGAAAAACTATCTTCCAACACCGTTGATGCACAAGAAGTAGAGCCATAAGCCACACCTTATGGCTAAAGAAAGCTTTTTGAATTTCTTTTTACTGAACAACCTGCAGAAATTGGATCAGTTCTGCACTGGTCAAAACAATTTAAAATGTTATCCCTGTCCTCCAATGTACTTGCATCCCTTCCCAGTTTGCTGTCATTTATTAATGGCAAAAAAAAAAAATGTTTCAATTCCATCCTACAAGTTGCTTAACATGACCAAACATATGGTAAATCCCTACTGAACGTTATTTGAAACACATCCATGTTTGACAAAAAAACTCCCCATCTCTATGCATGTTTTTCTCTCAGTGCACATGTCCACCTATGAGCTAGATGTCTAAGCTGCTGTTACAGTGGATAGAGGCTGGAGAGCTATTCTGCTTATCCTCCAGTGGGCAATGAGTGAATTTGGTGTCTGGAGTGTACAGTGGTGCCCTCCGGGCAGCTATGCAGGGCTGGCAGATCTGACACAAGACCTATGGGATGTCCATTCTCCTTTGAAGTGGTAGCTGAAAGTCAGCCAGGAGGCATTTCAGATGGTACTTGATATCTTTATGTGGGCAACTGCATTGTCCTAGATCTCCTCCCTACAAAGGAGGCTTAGATGCCTAGGTTACATATAGACACCTATACGGTAAACAAGAGACATTCCTATGCACAAATCTGAGGCTGAATCTTGTCCTACCTATCTTCATTTTTGCTTAGGGGAATGCCATCTAAAGCAGTGTGAAAAGCCATATGAAAGTCAAAGCAAATCATGTTCGTTGTTATCCCCTAGGCTACTTATTTAGTCAAAGACTGAAATTAGATTGGTTTGACATGATTCTGGATAAGTCCATGATCGCTGGCTTTCAATTACTGTATTACCTTTTGGATGCTTCAGGGTCATTTGCCTAATAAGTTTGCTTAATAACTTAAGCACCAAAGTTACATTCCCTGAGTTCTAGCTCCTTCGACTCTTCTCCACCTTCTAAAAATATGTGCCATATTTGCAATTTTCACATCTCTAAGGCATCCCATAAGCTCTTGAAGACAATTGTAGAAAAACAAAATTGCGTCAGCAAGTTTTCCAGTTTGTGTTTCATTGGGTGTTACTAATTTGAATGATTCTACTTAACTAAATGTTGGTTAGACTCTTCTTTGAAAATTCAGCCTCCATTTCTAAATATCTAGTCTCAATTAACCTTTTTTCGTCATGAGTGAGGCTGTTGATTGCTTCGATCCTCATTGCCCTTTGCCTTTGTGAGCTTCTGGACCTCTGTTTTCACTTGTTCTTGTCTTGTTTTCCCTATATTCCTTAAGGTCCCCACTGCTTCTTGCTGTTTGTAACACATTTTACAGCTTGGCCATTCTGAATTTAATATTGCTTATTGTGGATATGAAGAGTAGTGGAAAAAGATCATTTGTCCTTCCTGCAGACCAGATGCTGGATTCAGTTACTATTAATATTATCTGACAACAGTATTGAAAACCAATGATGTCAGGTTTTGGCTTCAATGTACCAGTGCTGTATTGCTGCTTGATTACTTCAGCCTTATGCATAAAATGGTGTATGATTGCTTTTTGCAGGCTGTTTTGAACTAGTCTTTATGTAACAACAGATGATACGAGGCAAAATTGAAGGATACAAGCAATACCCCATGTATAATCATCTTTAGTCTTGCGTCTGTGCTTCCAATATCTGCTTTCAGGTCACTGAGATAATTTTGCTATCATGTTTTCTCTTGTACTCACATCAAATAGAAATCTAGACATTAAGGGTGGCTATTACGACCTAAAAAAGGTCATATTAGAAAAACTATTTGTTTTTGTTGCAGGGTGAATTTTTATTGATTCGGGGTTTTTAAATTTTGGTCAATTCCAAATGTTTATTGAAATTATAGAATTTCTGGACTCATTGAGAATGTCTAGCAGCAAAAGGCACATACATTTGCTAATGGCAAGTAGCTCATCATTCAGCATGGTTGTGATTAAAGCTTAAAATGGTCTTGGATGCAATCTTTTGAACTCCAAATTATGGCTCACATGACAGATTGATGCAGAAAATGTTTACACTTCATTATGCTGTAAGATGATGGATAAGCTTGCAACTGCATTTGATCAGTGAAGTGTAGGAACAGGTCAGATGAAGTAGCAGATGGAGCAGGTTGAGAAATGAGGATAGAAAGTTAATTGTGGCCAAGATTAATTTCCTTTATTTGACTATGAGGGAGAAGGGGTTGAAATTGTTTTGAAGGTGTTTTTTATTTCAGAAGACAATAAAAGTATTTAGCTCTCCACATGACTTTAGGCACTAAATTTAATCTATAGATTTCAAAGCACTTCACGAACACAGCTGTTAATCTTCTTTCTTGTCTTTGGAAGGAGAGGCTCAGAGAATTTAGAACTGTCAGTTCACCTCAACTTTTCCACAGCAGGTTCAATGCAGAGTCCAGCTGTCTCCGGTTAGCACATCCTCAGACCTCAGACCAGGCACAGAAAGCCAGCTCTTCTCTTAATATCCTTGGAGAAAACTATAAATGAGGTCTATTTTTCCTGGAGAATCTTTTTGAGTCCCAAGTGAATGGGCAGGATTGCAAACTGTGTGTGGGAATACAACCTCCAATGCGGTGCCATATCTGGAATGCTGGTTTGTCAGGATTTTAGAACCACACACAAGCACCTGGCATGAAATTGTCTTTGTGTACCTGCTGCATGCAGAACATACAGCCATTTGCACAAAAGTACAGTGAAAAAATACTGATATTTCCCAGTAGCTAGGTGGAAACCAAATGATTTCTGTGCTCTTTTGCTCAATTGTGCATTGCTTTCTTCTTTCTCTTATACATTGCAAAGGTTCCTGCATGTCAGCAAAGTTATTCGTGCTCTGTTCCATAACTGCACGTGTAGTATCCAGTCATCCCAAGCAGTCTCCAGTCCTCTGTAGCTTGTGATCTCCTATGCTTTTTAGGAATCACTGACTCATTTCTTTCCCATTGAAATCAAGGGCCAAAATCCTGCAGACTCCAATGAAGCCAGTGCTTTTTCCCTGTGTCTCTGCCATCATTAAGAAGAAACTATTTGACTTTTAGGTGTGTTATCATTCTGAATAAGCTGTCAAAAGAAAGGGAAAATAAACAGGTTTTCAATCACTTTAGTTCTTCAGCAAATCTGGAGTTGTACACAGACCTTTTAGTTTTCTCAGTATGTATCCTGTCAGTTTGTCTCCTCTTGAGGGAGTCCAATTATGTACGTGTCGCAGTCATATTATAAAACAGCCATTTCACAAAATAACTGATTTCACAATGTAATTGAAACATATTAAGAATACCATTTGCTGTATTTACAAATCCTGACAGCTAACAAGGGCACTCACAGAGCAGATGGGCATCTCTTCAACTAGTGTTTACCAATTTGGGGTACTTCACTGAAGAAGAGATTTTTGAAAAGGGGTTTTTTTACACAGGGGTAGCTGTGTGCTGATGTTAAGTAGGAGGATGGCTTTTCCTGAATAACACAGTCAGATGTAGTCCTAATCATGACAATTAAATAGCACATCACCTGGCACTTAGTAGTGGTGCAAACTAGCAGATAATACTCATTACATCAAAGTAACTGCAATTGGTGTGGGGCACACATCCTGCAGATGTTACATAGGCAAAATGGCAATGGAGTAAATAGGAATTTCGACTGAGCTGTGCCTCTTGTCATCACATGGCTTTGAAATCTGAAAATCTAATGTTTGAGTCCAATTATTCACACTCATGCTCTGAACAGGAAAATAAATGAACACGTAAATAATGGTATCTTCTCATATAATTCTAACTTCTCTGTACGCTTCAGGTTCTGCCTATTTAAACAAAAAAAGTTCAAAAATTATTCAGAGCATTACTGTATCTAAGCCCAAATTCTTAAAAATTATTAAAGTAGGGTATTATTATTCTTGTAATAGCATCGTATAACACTGTCGACAACATTGTCATTATATGATGTAATTATATCACAGAATTACATAGTAACCTATATGATGTAATATATGTGATGTAACTGCCACCTACTTCTTCTATGACACTTTTCACCCAGAGATATGAACACACTTCGCAAAGAAGAGCCAGCAAGAAATGTGCATGTCTGCACAGTGCAGATGAACCCAATCAGTATATGTGTACAGAACAGAAATGCTTGTAAATATTAATCTAAAATATTATTTCAATGGCACATTACATTTCATATCAGCACAACTGAAGCTCTTTTTAGAAGGGTTGAGGGGAAATTATTTTCTACAAGTTTATTCACTCGGTACAAATGACTGGAGAAAAGGACAATGACCATGAAACTAGCATTAATCTTCACATATAATTGATCATTTAATTGCAGTAGTCTTTCATGAAGATAAATAATCACTAGTTGATACAGAATTGTACTCAAGATTTACAGAGTAAACACCCATCACATTTTAGACATCACACAATAGCCCATGCTATAATTATCAGTTCATCATTAGTATTGTTAAACATATCACGTAGACACTGGAAATCAATCCCAAAATACCGAAACCTCAAGCAGCATCCTAATTGAAATAAAACAACCTTCATATTCAGGTTATTGACTAATTTAAAATTAGTCTATGTAGCCAGAACTCTGGTTCTGCATTTAAAACAGAAGCATGATCCAATGTTTTGGGTTAAACTCTCATGTTGTTGTGAAGAAAAAACTGTCAAGATAATAAAACATGGGAAGTAACAGAGAGGTGAACTACAGTGGTATTGCTAGACTACATTATTAATTTTGGATTAGGTGTGAGTGATGGATTTAAAATTTACACTAGAGATCAGGATGGAAGGGTTACTTCCAATTCTTCTTTATAAAAAATGCCCCCCTTTATGACCTCTCCGAAGAGAGATATGTGAACAATTTATAGCTAAACTATATGATGTTGCTGAAGCTTAGGTAAATAACTAAGGTTGTTGGCAGTGATAAGTTGCAGCACATCATAGATAAATCTTCTCTGTCGGGAATTTATCCCCATTTTTCAAAGAATGATGGAAAAATCTTTGTCAAAATTGGGAATATATTTGAGAGCGGAGCAAGTGATTACCTTGCTTAGCCAAAATCTTGCCCATAGTGCAGTTGGTAACCATCTGCCTTTGTACTATTTGTCTGTAGCTCTGGCTGTGCCTGACCTACATGTGACACTTCTGAGCAGATGTGCATCAGGATACAGCAGATGAGAGAATGCCAGCCCCTGCCAAAAGGACTCCGCACATATTGGGAAGGATGAATACCAATAAATCAGGATCAGATGGGATGCATTGTACAGCTTTTTCAGAGTAGAGAAACAGCTGAATTATTTTATCTATTAAGTGAATCAATAAAAGATTTAATAGTATTATGTCCTCTTGATGTATTTGTCTTAAGCAGTAGCATAAAATTTGTGTCCATCCTGGACCTTTTATTTTCAGGGAACTAGAGAATGAAACACAGGTTTGATGCCTGGAAGTTGAGATACACCAAAACAACATTAATTCCATCCTATTACTTCCCACTTACCTTCTATTCATACTTCATTTAACTCGTGCAACTGACTGAAGCATGTTATCAGAATTCACAAGCTCAGAGTATATATTTAAGATGTTACAGGAAGTGCATAGGGGAAGGGGAAGAGAATACTTAAAAGGATTCAACACAGGTGAGTTGAATGCATGTATGTTTGAAGGGGGGCTCATGGAATCTATGTGATAACTAAGATAGGAAAAGTGCTGTGCTGTCCACAAGTATCATACAGAAATAGAGATAACCATGTGCTCAGCTAGTATCCTCTATATGTCTGATACTAAACAGCCTGTAATTCTTCATTTAAATTGCAGGAAATTACATTCTGTGCTAGGCACTTGTCATTTGGATGATGTGTTCAATTGGCTGGCCAAGGAGGGTTCATCAGAAAGAGTTTTCAAGGGACAGGCACACTGGTGTTAAGAATAACAGTTAGGACTGTGTTAGGACTGAAACTTAAATTTCATCATTTTTTCAATAGTAGCTTTGCAATTCTCTTAAGTTCTTCTTAACATAGTAGGGTCTTTATTACTGCACTATCTTTTAATGAAGTTTCATCTAAGGATCTGTTTAAAACTGGATACTACCTGTTTAAAATACTTGGTGTAGTGACTTCTTTAACCAAAAAATTAAAGTAGTTTTCTCATCTAATATATGCATGTCCTTCATCATCAGTGGATATATACCGGAACAGGCTCCCCAGGGAAGTGGTCACAGCACCAAGCCTGACAGAGGTCAAGAAGTGTTTGGATGATGGTCTCAGGCACATGGTGTGACTCTTGGAGATGATCCTGTGCAGGACCAGGAGTTGGACTTGATGATCCCTGTGGGTGCCTTCCAACTCAGCATATTCTGTGATTCAGTGATATATCACAGGCAATTTATAAGCATTTGTAACAATGCAGTGAACTACATGATTTGAAACAGAAATACCAGAATTTTTCCTAAAGAAAACAAATGGGCAAAAATGAGAAGCAAAATTGATGAGAAAACAGAATACCTTTGATTTAATGAGGGTTCATGCATCTTTTTAAAGATAGCTGAATAAATTCAGAACAGAGTGATTTGCGTCTTTTTTGTATTAATATGATTATTAATACCAATACTGTTAATATAGCCCAATGTTATTTTAATCCCAATGTTTTCAGAATCAGAGATAAGTCTTTGATGTCTTTGAATGTACACAAAAGCTGTACATTTAGAAATAACATTTTCTGTGATACTGACTTCCCCACAATATGCTCTCACAGATACCTGCACTTCCTATTCCCAGTTCAGTTTTGCGCCTGTTGCAGAATTTACTGAGAACTACAAATCTAAATGCTGTGATCCGAATAGTGACTACTTCAATAAATTATATTACATATTAGTGAGCTGAATTAGGACTCTTTTCTTGAAGTATACTCTTTCCAGGGCCACCAGGTTTAGTCCTTTCCCAGTGATGTACGAGAACTGAAAAGCAATCTTACTCTCCATGAATATGTTCAAAGAGCAGAAGAGCTTTGTAAATTATGTTGTTTGGATCCCACGCTCTTTATCTCTCTGAGTGCTGTCTGGTCACAAGGTTCTGGTTTATCCTTTCTGTTAACTGATACTAATATGCAGTTAATATTTGAGGAACACCATGGGTACCTGTGCCCAGCTGAGCAAATGGCTATTTCTCAGAGGCTTAGCTCATAGAAAGGGATAAAACCAGGCCCACTAGAGATAAGCCTCAGGGTGACATGCTGATGTCTAAGGGACAGTGTGCTAATGGGGTCTTTCAGTCTGCTGACTCATGGAGGTAGGGGATGGAGATCCATGTGGCAGCAAAGACCCGGGAGATATTGACATGATAGAAACCACAGACATGCCTGAGAATGGTCATGTAAGAATAAGGGCTTCTGCCCCCCAAAAATAACAGGATCAATAGCCCAACTGAAGTGCATTTACACCAATGCATGCAAAACGGGCAAGAAATAGGAGGAACTGGAAGCCATTGCACAGCAGGCGAACTGTGACTTAGTTGCACTCATGGAGACATGGTGGATAACTCACAAAACTGGAGTGCTGGATGGCTGTAAACTGTTCAGAAGGGACATGCAAGGAAGGAGAGGTGGTGAGGTAGCCCCATATGTTAGGGAGTGGCTTTATTATCTGGATCTCAGTGATGGTGGAGGCAGTGTTTGTGGGTAAGAATCAAGGGAAAGACCAACAGGGCAGATATCCTGGTGGGAGTCTGGTACAGACAACCCAGCCAGGATAAAGAGGCAGCTGAAATATTCCATAAGCATCTGGGAGCAGATTCGTGATCACTAGCCATTGTTCTTGTGGGGGGCTTCAACTTAACCATGCCTGCTGGAAATACAACACAGCAGAGAGGAAAGAGTCCAGGAGGCTCCTGGAGTGTGTGGAAGATCATAGCTTCCTGACACAGCATGTGAGGGATCCAACGAGGGAAGACGCCCCACCAGACGTGTTGTTTGTGAAAAGGGAAGGACTCGTGGTGATGTGATGGTTGCAGGCCATCTTGAGCAAAGAAAATGAGGGTACCCTCAGTGAGTTTCCAGGTGACGCCAAATGAATGAGTTTTTGGTTCTTGGAGAAGTAAGAAGGGAGGCCAGCACAACTGCACCTTGCACTTCCATAGGGGGAGACTTTGGCCTCTTTAGGAGACTGGTTGACAGAGTCCCTTGGATGGCAGTCCTGAAGGGTAAAGGAGTCCAGGAAGGTTGGACATTGTTCAAGAAGGAAATTGTACAGGTGCAGAAGTGGCCCATCCCCATACGCTGAAAGATGAGCTGGTGGGGAAGAAAGCTGGCCTGATTGAACAGAGAGATTTGGCTGGAACTCAGGAAAAAAGGAAGAAGGGTTTACAGCATTTGGAAGAACAGGCAGGCAATTCAGGATGCCTGCAGAGAGAAAAATCAGAAGGGCCAAAACCCAACCAGAACTTAATCTGCCTACTGCCATAAAAGACAATAAAAAAGGTGTCTATAAATACATCAACAACACAAGGAGGGTTAAGGAGAATCTCCATCTTTTGCTGGATAGAGAGGGAAACATAGTGATAAAGGATAAGGAAAAGGCTGTGCCTAATGCTTTCTTTACCTCAGTCTTTAATAGAAAAACCAATTGTTCTCCAGGTACCCAGGCCCCTGAGCTGGAAAATGGGAACAGGGAGCAGAATGAAGCTCTCATAATCCAAGAGGAAATGGTCAGTGACCTGACACACCACTTAGATGCACACAAGTCTATGGGGCCAAATGGGATCTAACCAAGGGTACTGAAGAAGCTGGTGGAAATGCACACTGAGCCACTTTCCATCATTTACCAGCTGTCCTGGCTAACCTGGGAGGTTCCAAGTGACTGGAAGTTGGCAAATGTGTCACTCATTTACAAGGAGGGCTAGAAGGAGGATCCGTGGAACTACAGGTCTGTCAACCTGACCCCAGTGCCGAGGAAGGTCATGAAGACAATCATTGAGTGCCATCACGCTGCACATACTGGACAACCAGGGAATCAGGCTCAGCCAGCATGGGTTTGTGAAAAGCACATCCTGCTTGACTGACCTGATCTCCTTCTATGGCAAGGGGATCTGCTAAGTGGATGAGGGAAAGGCTGTGGATATTGTCTACCTGGAGTTCAGTTTAGTCTTCGACACCATCTCTCACAGATTCTCCTGAAGTACGCTGCTCATGGCTTGGACTGGTGCACTGTTCACTGTGTAAAATACTGTCTGTATGATGGGGCCCAGAGAGTGGTGGTGAATGGTGTTAAATCCAGTCAACAGTCAGACACCAGTGGTATTTCCTGGGGCTCAATACTGGGACTAGTTCTGCTCAATATCTTTATCAATGACCTGGATGATGAGATCGAACGCACCCTCAGTTCACAGACAACATCAAGTTGTATGGGACTTTTGATCTGCTGGAGGGTAGGAAGGCTCTACAGAAGGATCTGGACAGGCTGAATTGATGGGCTGGGGCCAGTTGTATGAATGTCAACACAGCAAGGTGCTGGGTCCTGCACTTTGATCACAACAACCACATGGAGAGCTACAGGCTTGGGGCAGAGTGGCCAGAAAGCGGCCCAGTGAAAAAGAACCGGGACATTCTGGTTGTCAGCCACTGAACACAAGCCAGCAGTGTGCCCAAGTGTCCAAGAAGGCCAATGGCAGCATGGGTTGCATCAGCAAGACCAGGGCAGTGATCATTCCCCTCTATTCGGCAGTGGTGGTGCCTCATCTCGAATCCTGTGTCCAGTTCTGGGCCCCTCACTACAAGAAAGACATTGAGGTTCTGGAGCATGTTCAGGGAAGGGCAACAGAGCTGGTGAAGGGTTTGGAATGCAGGTCTTATGAGGAGCAGCTGAGGGAGCTGGGGTTGTGTAGCCTTGTGGTAGTTTGAGCTACCACAAAAATCGAAAATCCAATTTCAAGGCTTCCCCCACCCCTTCCCACAATTTATCTCAACACCAAAGAGAAAAACTTTCAGGCAAGAGGCTTCTATAGGGGAAAGGGGAAGTATTTACATTTTATTTACACAAATAAATACTACACAAGCTAAAAGCAACTATATACATAATATTATACACTGCTATCAGTTCCTTTAAGCTTTCTCCCTCAATTCAGTTCAGGGAAAAAAACTCTTTAGGCTGATAGGTAATGCAGTCTCTCTCTTGTGGAAGTGTTCAGAGAACCGGAACACTCCCCCCACCAACCTCCAGTTGTTTGTTGAAGTCCTTTCTTCCTCATGAAGTCCAAGAAGATAGCTTTGAGTCCTTTCTCCTTGGTTCTGTGTCGTTTCTGCTGTGTGATCTCTCTCTCATACTTCGGTTCGTAGGCTGCTGTAGTGTAGTCAGCTTATCAAACATCCTCCGAGTCAGTTTTCGGCTGCCCCCGGTCAAACCTCTGTAGGGCAACTCCTGAGCCCTTTGGCCCGTCTCCAATTTCGCCTGGGTTTTTCTCTCTGGCACCGAGCTGCTCTCGTTTATCAACCTGTCTCTTGGCTCAGCTCCAATACTAAGCCTTGCATCCACTCCCACTTAACAGTGAGAGGGAAAAAAGCCCCCTAGCCTTGGCCACAGGCAGCTCGGTCCAGTTATACACTGTCCCAAGTGCCCCTCAGCCCAGCTGCAGGGAGGGTAAGAGGGCCTAGCCTCCTCCCGCTTACCTCAGATGTTGTGAGTCGCGTCCCTCACAAACACTCACTCCAAATACTGCCTCCAACCCTGACTTAGGCAGGGCTATGGGACGCAGGGCCTCCCCTCCCCCTGGAGGGGGAAAAGAAGGAGGCCCTGCCACCATTTCGGCCTTCCACCCTCACACGGCAGCAGACACAGACAGAAATTGCCAACAGCTTCCAGTGGTTGTGTATATATGATTTTTCAGCAGAAGCGAACAAGACGAGCAGTGATTGGCCCTCCAGGGAACACTGCCCTGGCACCCAATCACCTCTGAGCCCCTGGCTCCCAGGGGGGGCCAATCTCAACCTATAACAAGCCTGGAGAAAAAGGAGGCTTTTGCAGGGATGCTATCACTCTCTAGAACTACCTGAAAGGAGGTTGTAGACAGGTGGGATCAGTGTCTTTTCCCAGGTGGATTGGGTCTGGCTGAGATGGAGCTCATTTCCCCATAGTAGCCCTCACAGTGCTGTGCTTTGCGTTGGTAGCTAGAAGGGTGTTGATAACACACCAGTGTTTTGGCTACTACTGAACACAGCATCAGTGTTGTAACATTCCTTCCCCAACTGAGGGCAAGATCCTGGGAGGGCACTCAAGTAGGCCAGCTGACCCAAATTGACCGAAGGGATATTCCATACCATATGATGTCAGCTCAGATATAAAAGCTAAGGCAAGGAGCAGGAAGGCAGGTATTCCTTGTCTCCAATGGCTGCCTGCTGAGGAACCGTCACCCGTGCTGAAGCCCTGTTTCTCGGGAGTAGCCGACCATCGCTGCTGATGGGAAGTAGAGAATAAATCCTGCTATCTTTCGCTTTGCTTTTGTGTGCACAAGCTTTTGCTTTGCTTCTGCTGTTATAAACTCATGAGTTATTTTCCATCTTACCCTCTCCCCTGTTTGGCTGGGAAGGGGATCGATAGAGCAGCTGGGTGGGCACCTGGCATCCAGCCAAGGTCAACCCACCACATCAAGTAACAAGTGATATGACATGAGGAAATGATCTGAGTTTGCACCAGGGGAGATTTAGATTGGATATTGGGAAAAATTTCTTCACTGAAGGGGCAGGCAGGTGTTAGAACAGGCTACCCAGGAAAGTGGATGGGTTACCACCCTTGGAGGTATTCAAAATACATGTAGATGTAGCAGCTGGGGACATGGTTTAGTGCTGGACTTGACAGTGCCATGGGAACAGTTGGACTTGATGATCTTAAAGGCCTTTTCCTACCTAAATTATTCTAAGATTCCGTGATTCTAAAACGTGAGGCAGGAGGAATTACAGTGTTACATTTGAAATTCCCAGGCACTTTACAGTTGAGACAGGACTTCCCAGCAATATTTTAATCCCTCATTTTTCACAAAAGCTAGAAGGCCTTCTAGGTAACTTGATTTTTAAAGTAAATAGCACCAATTTGTAGAACCCAGTAATAAAATTACGTCAAAATGATGTAGTCATTAAGATGGAGCAAGGAAAAATTATAATGCTTTCTTCTGCACTAATAATTTGAAATGTATAGCTAGACTTTTGGGAAAAAGGCTACATAAATTAGGTTTTTTTCTGTGGTTTTTATCAATGCAATCTTCTTCCAGGTTTTCATTATAGCATTTAAACTTCAAAATTTCCTTAAAATCACAAAACAACAGATTAACCTCAGTCCTAAGGAAACAGTCCTTTTGCCTGGAAGTTTTTTCAGTAGGTTAACTTTTGTCCTGTTAGGAGTAAAACACGCAGAGAAAACAGAGCCTTACCCTAACAGAAAATCTTTGACAGAACCCTAGCAAGTGCTGTCAAATTTTCTAAATGGTCTTAGAAAAGTGGGTTATTCTTCAGATTTTATGGAATTAGTGCCAGACACTAATTCTTGATCTTTCTGGTTCAGGGGGTGCAATGCCCCTCACCTAAATGTGAGCATCTACAAAAGAGATGTCTTCGTCAGAGCTATTTTTTCTTATCAGCAGAGAGAAATGAGCCCTTCTTCCTTGTGATTCATCTTGTCCTGAGGTAGTCATCCAAACCAGATCAGATGACTCATGAACTAGAAATGCATGTTTCTACCCATTAGTCTAAGAAGGGAACCCTGGTCTAGCTCAAGTGGAGACATCTACCGGGCAGATGCCTCAGGTTAGGTAAGATGAATGCTATCAGGTGTCTCTCCAGTGTTTTTGTGTCCTTGGTAGAGTAGACAGGAGTAATTTGTCAAAAAATTATTCAAAACAAGTATTCAAAACAGAATCTTTCCATGTAATAGTTTGCTGCAGGGCACAGTCCGTTTCTTTCTGGAAGGAAGAACTGAAATAAGGCAGTTTCTCTGGCAGTGATAAAACATAAAGACAGAAGTGGACGCCATAAAAATTTAGGGATGCAATGAAATTGCACCCTGCTGTTCTAACAAAGGATCCATCTTTCCAAATTCCAGAAATAAGTGAGAGGAAACCATTGCGGCACTGCTCAGAACAAAGATCCTCCATACTCATCTCAGCACTCTGCTTATTTGGGGAGTGGGGTATGGAGGGAGTATAGTCAAGGATTTGTGTTATTAGAGCAATCAGGAGGAAAAGAAAGAACAATAAGACATTTAAAACTGATCGATAAATTCCAGGTGTATCTGAAGAATACTAAAACACTCTATTTCCTTTTGTTTACAGTGTATATCCTATTCGAAAATAGATCTTATGGGAAAAACAGAGCATAACTCCATATTTATTGCATTTCTGGAAATGGGCCTGTATTTATTACTGGCATCTGCTGTTGGTGACAGATCTTGAGTAGAATCCAGAAGTCCTGAATAATACTTGGCTTTCTTTATTGTGGTAAAAAAAAATTGCTTTTTCAGGCTTGCTGCAATTAGCAAAGATTGTATTTTGTTCTACATACCCTTTACTAGCGGTAATCCAATATTGAATTGCCTCAGAGGGTCTCAGCAATAACTGGGTCAAACTCTCTCATAACTCTTTCTGCTTGACCTGGAAAATTGACACTACCATAGGAGTGCACAGTATATATGTGTACTGCCAAAACACCACGTGTATTTAAATCTTGCACTCGGTTCTTCATTTATTCACCTTCCTTTTATGATTTTTTTTTAGTTTGTTCATGCCTCAATTTTTTCCCAATCTATTTAGCCTCTAGATAAAGACCACTTAGCTACTAGCAGGAGCAAATTTCATCTTCACATAGCATTTATACTTAGCATGTTCTAATTAAGTCAGTTAAAGTAGCTATCTGCAATTCAGCATGTCTGAGCAGCTCTCCATTCATCAGTGATCTCCTGTAAACATTTAGGACGTCTTGACCTTGACTAGTTGTGAGTGTAGAAAATGCAACCTGACTGAGATTCACGGGCTGCTTCTTGGCAATATGGTGGAGGTATGAGTGCAAAGAGCCAAGAGGAACAGGGGCAGCTCACAGAGACCATGCTGAGGTCCCACGGCAGGACTGCAGGGTGCCAGGAAGGGGAAATCTTAGTAGGGTCAGAAACAGAATGCGATATGATGTAGAGTCTCCAATTAATACTCACACAGGAAACTAGGTGAGCCATATTCCTACTGTGTGAACAAAATATATTGTGACTTGATTTCACAGAAGTCCAGTAATTATCTTCCACCACCTGCACCCGCTTTTTTTCTTCTGAGTCTCAGAAGCTGATACACATACTATCAAGGTTTCCTCATTACCTGTCTGAATGTTTCACTAACTCTATGTACAACGCCCATAAATACATCCATTTTGGAGAGTCCATACATAAAGTTAGCATTTTAGTAAAGGTTAATATCTAGGCTTTTGAAAAAGTAGAATAGGTTACACTGAAAAATGGGTGGATTACATGCATGAAACCAGGACAGAGAAGTATCACCACTCATGTTCCCATGTTTTGCTCAAAGTCCAGAGATTAAAGCAATCCCTAGAATATGTGAAATCCAGTTCTTATTCCTGTAGCAACCAGAGCGGATCTGAGTCTACACTTCTTACCTCCCCAGAGTGCCAAAACACCAAGATGTGTAATATAAGGATCTCCTGTCAATGCCACTCCTCTTCATACCTAAAAGGTTTCTGGGGTAGGAACTGGTTCTCTGGTATTACAAGTCCCAGATGAATGCCCTGACCTATGCTCCATTCATCTTTCTCTCCTGCCTCTGGCTCAATTTATATTTAACCACTGAGTCTTTGTATAAAACAAGCACTACATTCTTTACTTCCTTCCCTGTGTTTTGAATGCTGTCTGTACTTTGCACGTCACTTCATGAGGGATTAAAATGCTTGAAATAGATTTGATATGTTTTCCTTCAGCCTGAAGTGATAATTGATATCATTTGCTTCTACAACAGAATTTTTTTAAAGTTTTAATTTTGGCTCAGGTTTCATAGCCCCTGTTTTTAAATTTTTTGGTTTGAGTGATGAACTGAAGAATTATTTTTTTAAAAATCCCAATTCCTCTTTGTTCTTTTCATTACACTATCTGCTGTCAGCTGCCTTGAGGTTTGGTAAGGTTTCAGACACTGAATGTCCTTGCCAGTGGAGACTAAGCTTAATAATTTAACAGCATTTTCAGTGTTCAAAGCCAGGAGAGTTTGAGCTATTAAGCCTGCTAGTTGTAGTTGCACAAAGTCCTATTACACAGTGTAAAATGCTCATAATTTCCAATCTATTAAACCAGTCTCTTTGCATTTTGCTCTTATTCCTTGATGTTAAAAAAAATGTGCTAATTAAGTAAAATTAGTCCAACTCCAGTTTTATTTAAATTCCCTTAAATAAATTTCCTTAAATAAATAAATTTCCTTAAAGTACCCCAGACAAAAACTTTGGAGGTGAGGTAAAGTAAGATAAATTTTAATTTGCAGGGAATGGATAGAGATATAATCAGGAGCTTATTACGACCTACATATTTTTGGCATTCATATATAGATAGCAGATAGGTTTCCTGTATGACATCCCTCTAGCAAAACGAGTTGAAGGCAGGTGGATTTTATAATCCTATCCTTACTCCACTCCCTGAAAGCTAAGGATCACAGTGAATGAAACATATTTTTCCTGCAGAGGAATCACAGTAAGATATTTCCTCTAGTAGCATGCTTTGCCTCTCCTCAATTGGCTAAGGATACATCTCCCCCTCAAGGGGTGAGGTTAGGAAACAATGGGGATCCAGAGAGAGGTAGCAGCTTCAGGCTCTTCTACAAAGAAATCCTGATGAACATCCTGTGCTATGCCTATTTTTATCTCCATTATGCTCCAAAATTTCATAAAAGCTCCTATTAAACTTCAACATAAGAGCAGCTATAGGCAGGAAATGAAGATTTGATGACATTAGGCTAAAGTTATGACCAGCCTTGTGAGGTGAGGTGACCTGGGATGAAAAGTGAGACCTATATACTTTTATAAAAGAAACACATACATATGAAGCCAAAACCCCCTCACTGAAAACTATTTGCATAAATGGGGGGGTTTTAACAGAAAGAAGTGATGTGATTTTGCTTTTGGTCTCACTGACAAGTAAAAGCTTTGGATAGCTAAATGCAGTAAGAAAATAGAAAGAAACCCCCAAACAAACAGAAGATAAAGGCCTGGATGAGAAACACATGGTGTTATCTAGAAGCATGTTGCTGCTGAAGGGGGTATTTTCTGCGGGTGAGGTGGATGAGAACACATCCAGAACATGATCAACTGGCTGCTAAGGAATTGATGTCCTGACATACATGTCAGGGCTTTTTGCCATTCTAGAAGACCTGGGGCCCCCCAGCATCTCCAGCTGCTGCTCCAAAAGAGAACAACCCTGTGTGATATCTCCCACCCCCACATTGCCCATCCATACATGATTCCAAAAGCGTTAGACACTTGTATTTAATAGTAGACTTCTAGAGGGGCCTAGACTGTGACTAACTGCAATGGAACCTGCATGTAGCCAGTCACAATATGGGGACCCCAAAATTCAGGAGTTCTTCATCAAGAGTCCAAAACGACACCAACCCCTAATCAATTTTGATGAAGCTAACAAAGAACATCAAGATGTTAAGGAAGTTAATGCTGATTACAAGTTAAAGGGAATCCTATTTGACAACTAAATCCTATTAAAGTAAGCAGGTGGATTACAAACACTGTGGTTAATAAGGAAATGGGCATGTGGAAAATGTTCTGTGGGCTAAAAACAAGTGAACACAGAACAAGTTTTAACACAGGAAGAGTGTTAAGCTTTATTAACAGTTCAGTCATTGTGGTGGCTGGTACTCCCCGTGATCCTACTGGAGAAATGACATGGCAGACAGCATCTTGTATGAGTCCTTATATATCCTTTATTTGCTTTGCAATGGGAGGAGCCTGACCATTACTCACCAAATGTAAGACTCATCACATGCCCATACTGCAGACAACTGTAAGCGATCCGGTCACCCTATGTCATAAACTGAAATGTCAAGGACAGAAGTTCCTTCACTTGTTTTAGATATTCCCCTCAGGGTGGGGAGAAAGAGGCCCTACAAGTGCCTGTTCCCCTCTGGCAGCTATACTGGGTGGTTTGCTAAGGGCAGAGGGGTCCCACCCAGAGCTACCTGTGTACTGCACAATCTGGTGCCCTCTAGCACTGGCAAACACCAAATCCAACAGGACTGTAAAAGCTGGAGAATTGAACCTTTGTGCTAAAAAGGGTGATCTCACAAGATGTTGAGGTTGTTGCCTGCGTATTTCAGGCTTCTGGCTCTCAAGAACTGGCTATGTATGCTAAGCAAATCTGTTGAAGTTATTTTGATCCAACAAGCTCAGGCCATGAGCACACAGCTGAGGTTTGGTGTGGTACCATGACCATTGTATTTCATGTTGCTGGGAAGAAGAGCATCCTCACTGAGCTGCAGTGCATGCAGTGCTGGCTTTTCTGTGCTGAGGACCTGAACGTGTGCCACCACCCAGGGCTGTGTGGTGTGCCAGGGACACACCAATTTTCTCAGTGGTACCATGCTCTCACAAAGTTTTCAGACACCATCTGTTTCAAACTATGTCGTACCACTGAGTAAAAACCAAATGGCACCTCCAAGTTTAACAGAAAAAAAAAGCAAACCCAAACCCTAGCAGTCTGAATTTTTTACAACATCCCCACCAAAAAGTGTGCAGAGGTAAACGACAGGCAGGCTCAGCAACTGGTGTTAAAGCAAAGGGACATTTGCAATGCAGTGGGAAAGGAAGACAGATGGGGTGTCTCACTGTGAAAGGGCCCTGCTATGACAGCGCACAGCCATTTCACCAAGACAGACATCAGATGCCAAGGAAGAGGAGTTACAGTCAGGGAAAGGGAAGTTACTTGGCACGCTAGAAGATAGTCTTTATATTATTTCCTCACTCCGTATACACAGAGAGCAATATTTTGGGAGGAAATTCATTCTTTCAGATTATCTACTTTTCAAACCAACAGAGATTCAACAAAGACTGCAATAAATCCATAATGTGTGTGCTATGTATCTATGTTCCAAATCAATATTAGTGATGGGCTACCAGTGTGAAAAGCCAGAGATCCAGGCCAGAGATGCATGCAGTATTACAGGGACAGAGAGAAATCTATATGTTCAATGTATTTCTTTACATTCTATGCCAATATTCAAGCTAGTTTACTCATGTGAAAAATAAGTGCTACATAGTTCGGAGAGGGAGAACACATCAATAGCTGTACTGTGGAGACGTGTGCTAAATAACAAAGACTGCCTTCATGCCATGTCTATCTAGTGCATCTATATTGTGCAGAGAAATTCTAGAGTCCCCCAAAATATTCCAGTTAATCAGTCTTTTTTGAAAGAAGGATATTTATGTTTTCTGTTAATTTTCTTCCAGACTTCATCAGGAGCTACAAAAAGTTACTCTCTCCACCTTGGCGTTTTCTAGAGCGCTCATCATGGTAGTGGGTGGCCTCATCAAGCCTGAGGAGAGCAGTGCTGAGGTGTCTCCATAGGAACCAGTCCCCTCTGTTGCTTGCTTCCTTCCCCCCTGATCAGCAGTGGCTTCCTCTCTCCATAGTCCACTGCTTGCCCTGCCTTTGCCACATTTTACTTGTAACTGTTGAGCTTTGCAGTTTTGTGGCACATGAAAAGGAGAGGGGGTGAAGTTTGATCCACTGTATCCGATTCTCTGGGATAGGGTTTTTTAACACTAATACCTGCTTCTTTTGCCCACAGTCGCAGCAGCATAGCTGGCACAGAGCAGGCACAGGGGAAAAAAAAAGATCCTGCCCAGTCCCATGTTTCCTTATCTCTGACCCTTGCACCCCTCACACACATGCTGATTTATTGCCACTCACTCAAAGGCTGCCTCCTACAAGTGCCAGGCTTGCACAAGCTGCCCTGCCCTGCTGTTCTCTTTCATCCCTCCTCTGCCTTTGCAGACATTTTTTTCCTTTTAGTTTATCAACACAAGAAGGGGCTGACTGAGCTGAGCCTTTACTCTTTTCTATGGCTGTGTTCTCACCCCCACCAACACCTATCTCTTTCATAAATTAATCTAAAATCAATCAATAACCTCATCAAATAAGCCATGTCCCCTCCTTTGCGCACATATTTTTCTCATTATGATTAATATCCCAACAATGAATCACCAGCTGTATAGCCAATTTTGGGAACTCTACAATAGACTGACCCGTTCTGGAGCTCATTGTTTATTTTCCATGTCAACAAAAGAGCCATTTCGTAAGAAAAGGAAAATGCCCCAATGCCTCACTCAATATATTCAGGTCCTCATGAATAATTACCCCAAAGTAAGGCCCCTCCTTATCAAAATAACACTTAATATGAACATTTGAGGGCTGCTTATAAGAGCAGCCTTTACAATCTTGTGCAGTATCAATAAAGTGCAGCAAATCTGTAAGGGAAAGACATATTCAATCAGGCCTGGGAATCTTTCATGTACATTTTGCTGGATATCTGATCTGGGCTTAGTCTTGAACTCGATAAAACCTGCACTTACTAAAGATTCAGGTACGGCTCTCCCCATTTTGCTTCAAAAAAATTCGTATGCATATAAGAACTGATATGCAAATTAAGTTAATCAAATCCCACTGCCTGCATGGCTCCTCTAAATCCTTTTTACAATTAATTTTTTCCTGAGAGTACTGACGGATCTGTTTGTTGGCAATGTTGCAGCTGTGAAGCCAGGAAAACTGACTTCAAAATTCCAGAAGAACAGACTCATTGTTCTTATAAGTGTGGGGAGATGTGAAGATTTTTGTCAAGAGCTATGTGTAACATGCAAGTAGCAGTTCATGTTTTCTGCCGTATTCACTGCAGGTAATGATGGAGAGAAGTGGGATTTTGGAAAGTGCCAGGCTTATGTATTACACTACTGGAAATGTGATGGTGAAGAAAACAGACACCATTTACATTTGGCCAACATCTATGTTTTCTGTTTTCTGCCTTATCTGACTATATATTTCAGAAGACAGTTTGGTTTTAGTTTCTTTTAGAAAGCATATGATGGCTTCATGCGCTAGACTGACATCTGAGCTCCTGGAGAGAAATTTCTTGTCATGTTCTCATACTTGATGCCTCTGTGGCTTTGGGTGCAACTGATCCTTAAAGGTATTCAGCATTATGCAAGACCCAGGTCCCAGTCCACTGAAGCTCTTAAACATATGATTAATCTTTAGTCCCTTTGACTTCACTAACTAAACAGCTTAGCTGGATTCACTCCTATGCACTTAATCGTCCTCCTTGAATTTCAATATTAGCAAAATGAAGATAATTCTTTCTTTAATATAGAAGGGTACAGCGAGCATTAATTAGTTAATGTATATGGAGTGCTTTGGAAATATAAAGGTTATCTAGATGGTAATTTATGTAGATATTGGAAGAAGTAGAGGGAAATAATTGCTGTCTCTCACCTGTGCAGGGTTTCAGAACAGCATTCATTCCCTCACTCACTGTAGAACAGAAACTAAGTGCTGAGACAAGCCCATGCTCAGGAGACACTCAGAGCACGCTTATCAGATTTAACAGTGCTTTCCCATTTAAGGGAATGCAATCAGCTCTGTATTTGCATTTCCCTTGCAAATGAGCTTCATTGACTCCTCACAGTATGCTTTGCACTAGCTGCTTCTCCTGTCTCAGAGCTGTGGTAGTTAACTGCCTCAGCAGTGTAATATGCTTTCATCTACCATGTATCTGTACTTAATAATGAACCTGGCAAGAAGGCTCCAGCACTGGTGATTGGCAGATTCTCACCCGTTCTTGTTTTGAGATGCTGGTTTTGCCAGGTGCTTACCTTGGGTCTATAGATAAATAAATAAAGCACATAAAAGGGACTGGTTTATCTTACTTCATTCTTTAAGTTGTTTATGCAAGGTTTGTGTCCTAACGAACTCTGTTAAATGGCTTTGGCAAAAATGCCCTTGCTGTTGGTTTGAGAATTCTGTGAATAGTATTGTAATCTCCCCACAACTGGAAAGCAACAGCAGCCCCTAGATTCATTTCCCACCTGACAGAAGTAAAAAACCACTCTGAACCATAGAGCCAGGCTCCTCTTATCAGTTGCAGAAAGGCTGAATAGCAGAGACTCTGGAGCTTC